ATCAGAGGTTTCTTAAAGAACGTTAGTGAACAAACAGCATCTTAATGCCAAGGAATGCACCAAACAGTTCAGGATAAAGTTGTGGAGAAGTTTAAAGCTGGGTTCGGCTATAAAAAAAAAAATCCCAATTTTTGAACATCTCACGAAGCACTGTTCAATCTATCATCCAAAAATGTAAAGAGTATGGCACAACTGCAAACCTATCAAGACATGGCCGTTTACATAAACTGACAGGCCGGGCAAGGTGAGCATTAATCAGAAATGCAGCCATGAGGTCCATGGTAACTCTGGAGGAGCTGCAGAGATCCACAGCTCAGGTGGAAGAATCTGTCCAAAGGACAACTATTAGTCGTGCACTCCACAAATCTGACCTTTATGGAAGAGTGTCAAAAAGAAAGCCATTGTTGGAAGAAAGTCCTAAGAAGTCCTATTTGCAGTTTGCGAGAAGCCATTTGGGGGACACAGCAAATGTGTGGAAGAAGGGGCTCTGGTCAGAGGAGACCAAAATGTAACTTTTTGGCCTAAAAGCAAAACGCTGTGTGGCGGAAAACACTAACTGCACATCATCCTGAACACACTATCCACACTGTCAAACATGGTGGTGGCAGCATCATGTTGTGGGGATGCTTTTCTTCAGCAGGGACAGGGAAGCTGGTCAGAGTTGATGGGAAGATGGATGGAGCCAAATACAGGGCAATCTTAGAAGAAAACCTGTTAGTCTGCAAAAGATTTGAGACTGGGGTGTGGAGGTTCACCTTCCAGCGGGACAACGACCCTAAACATACAGCCAGAGCTACAATGGAATGACTGGGCCATTCTAACACATGAATATGCTTTGGTCTAAACCAAAGTCCAGAGCTAAATCCAATTGAGAATCTGTGGCAAGACTTGAAAATTGCTGTTCACAGATGCTCTCCATCCAATCTGACAGAGCTTGAGCTATTTTTTAAAATGAAGAATACGCCACAATTTCACTCTCTAGATGTGCAAAGCTGATAGAGACCCAAAAAGACTTGCAGCTGTAATTGCAAAGAAAGGTGGTTCTACAAAGTATTGACTTGGGGGCGGAATACAAATGCACACCACTTTTCATATATTTATTTGTAAAAAAAAATTTAAAACCATTTATCATTTTCCTTCCACTTCACAATTATGTGCCAGTTTCTGTTGATTTATCACATAAAATCCCAATAAAATACATTTATATTTTTGGTTGTAACATGGCAAAATGTGGAAAATGTTAAGGGGTATGAATACTTTTTCAGGGCACTATATATTTACCTTTTAGTAAATCAACCTCCCTGCCTAGTTTCACACTAGTGCAGCCGCAGCATGGTCTGCTTTACAGCGCATTTTGTGACGTGTTTTTCATGCTTTGTGCATTTTTCTTTGTAGAGGAAGAAGGCTGGATTTTATACACAAAACTGCATTAAAAATGCAATCACATGCGGTTTACACGTTTTTTTGGAGCATTTCCATTGACGTTCATGGGGCCAAAATCTCACTGCACCAGCACCCATACCATTTCCAAAAATGTGCTGATGTGAACGGACAGCATAGAGAATAATGTGATTGTCATCGTTGTGCAAAGCTACATGACAGCAGCAGCATCAGAAATTGCAATGAGCCCTGGTTCACACCGCTGCAACTTCAGGTGTGACATGCAAGTTACAAATCACACCTAAAGTCCCATCTAATATAATTTCTATAGCACTGTGTTATTAAAAATAGTTCCTGTGTTACCTTTTTTAAATACTTCATTGTGATTTAACTCTCATGGACTAGAAGGTAAATGGCACTGAAATCGCACCTGTGTCTATGACAGCGCTACTTTGAAGTCGCAATTTAAATGGAACCAAATCGCACCACTTTGAAATCGCATTTGGTGTGAACAAGGGCTGAAGTCAACAGGGGCTTAATGTCAGCTAGGGGCAACCTCGTTTTCAATTAAACTGTTAAATACAGATCCCCCATCCCTCCATATTGATTTTTTTTTTTTTTTTATGCTGAGGCTCCAACTTGGAAGAAAAGGTTGAGTGGTTCAAGACAGGATGTCAAACAGTCCTTGCTAGGTCCTTGTGGTGCCTATGAATGAAAGCATGAACTTGTTAGGAATTCATAAGGGACAGTTTCAAGGATATGTGAAGATCTCCATAGTTGAGTTGTAGGTGTTTTTCTTATGGGGGGGATCCATAAGGCTACGTTCACATCTGTGCGGGTGGTGCCACTGCGGATCCGCACCACCCCCTGCACAGAAAAATGCGGACCAGCGGGTGGGTGCCATTAGTTCTAATGGCACGCCACCCGCACTAGAAAACAATTGTACTGGGAACCGAGGTTCCCGTGCAGGCTGCATTTTCCGAAGAAGTGCAGGGACATCTTCCCTGTGTGTCACAGGCACGGGAGTCTATTCAAATGAATGGGCTCTTGTGCCTGTACAAAACATGGCCCTCACGGCCGCATATATGTGAACCGGGGCTTAAGGAGGATGTTAGTTTATGTTGTCACTAACTTTTATTATCAAGGCTGCCTTTGTTTACACCTGTTTATGAAATAACTGTCATGCCAATCTTAGGTTAGTATCCAGATCAGGAGCTCTGTATACTTGTTCAATGATACAAAGTGTGAAAGCCAAGCAGCGGGCATTTTCAGAAAGAAAACAGCCTCCATCTATTCTTTGCACAAGATTCCTTTAAAGTGACCCTCTCAGCGCACAGGGCCATTTGAATGTAAAATATGCTTCTAAAAGAGGACTGCGTGTATTTACCTTTGTATTAGCCGGTTAGTTGAAAGGCCGCTGCATCACTGCTCTTCATTCTCTGCACATATTCACACATTTATGTGTTTCTCTCTTTATAACTACAGGATGTACAAAGCTGGTGGGAGAAACCACAGTCAAAGGCAGGTAATCAACCAATCTGATTGGAGGAATACTGTGAGGATGGCAAGCAGTGATGAGGTGGCCTTTTGAGGAGTAAGCTTTCAGAAAAGTTAGAAATTGCTTACATACACAACACGCATCCTATCTTCTATCAACATTTGTTTCTTTTTCTGTTTTTTTTTTTCCTCTTTTATCCTTTTTTACCTTTTTGCAAGGATATATTCTAAATACATGTTCGCCTGCTTCGCAGATCCAGCATTGTCCTACTGTGCTTCATTGCCATGCTTCAGGTACCATGTAGCCTTCTTCCCTGCCTACATTGAGAGCCAGCTGTCTATTATTATTATTATTATACAGGATTTATTTAGCGCCAACAGTTTGCTCAGCGCTTTAGAATGTAACGGGAGACAATAAAGCAACAATACAGTTCAATACAAGAGGGATTTGAGGGCTCTGCTCCTTGGAGCTTACAATCTATAGGTTCCTGCAGCCACCTCCTGCAGATGCGCTGTCAAGACCTGGCTGCAGGAACCCATAGATTGTAAGCTCCAAGGAGCAGAGCCCTCAAATCCCTCTTGCATTGAACTTTATTGTTGCAGACCGCCCTCCAGCCAGTGTGTTTCGCTGCTCCTGCAGTCATCATGTGATAGGAAATGTCCCAGGAGGCTGCTGGAACAGGGACAAGGTCATTCTTGCCAATGCAGAAATGAAGGTGGAGGGCAGACCAGGGTAAAAGAAGGTAGTAAATTGTGTGCAATGAAAACTTGCGACTTTGTGTAAATAAAAGTCAGGCTTGTTCCACCTGCTGGCTTGTATACAGGTTTTGGGCAATTTTTAGACGTGCCAAGGCACCCCTGAAGAAACCTCAAGGCACCCTGGTTGAGAGAGGCTGAGTTAGGCAACTTTCACACTGATCCATAGCAAAAATGTGTGTTTGCCACATATTTACAGCATTTGTGGTGCTCTTCTTTTTTTTTTTTTCCTCCTGACTCAAAACAACACACCAAAAATGTTACAAGGATGCGGTTTTCATGCTTTTTTTTTTCTTTCTTGCTAATTTTTCATTTATTTCAATGGGGATTTGTGTTTTTGGTGCAGGTTGTTTTTTTTTGTTTTTTACACCAAAAATGCAGCAAGCAGGATTTCAAAAACTGCAGCAGACTCTCAATAGACCAGTGTGTAGAGTTCCATAGGATTACATGGTCACATATTTTTTTCCGCTTTTTTTTTTTATTATAAAAAAGCGTCCTAGAAGTGAGATCTGTAACAAATACTGCAGCAGCTTGAGACACAATCACCGGAGATAACTTTTTACTGTGCACATAGCCAAAATAATTTGTGGCCATACGTCTTGACCCTATTCAGGTTCTGTTTACATCTGAGCACTGTGCATTTTGGGGTGACACCATTCACTTGAATGGGCTGCCCTCCACTCTGAGAATACAGCAGAGTATCTCCTTGTACCCATTTTTGGAGCTGACTGGTGCATTTTTGGACAGTGCGATCTTTGGAGTTTGTTGCACTTGTTAGAGACCATTTTGTGTGTGTGTTTTGGGGTGCCTTTAAGAATGTGAGGGGCAGAAGAGTTCAGTGCTACCTCACACGTAGCTTTTTTGAAATGTGTTTTTCCCTTGGTTCCTCCGCATGGCACAGTAGCTCATTGTGAAGTGCCAGTTTGCACGTTTTGCTGTGGCTGATGCGTGTGCCATGACCAATTCCACGTTCCTAGAATGTACAGATATGAATGGAACCCAAACATTTCCAGTGTGTTTTCAGGGGGAAGTTTTACATCTCATTGAGCCAATCCTGACATCATGCACATCCCGCACGGCTTGGTCCCCTTTCCCCCGCCTCCATGTTCATCTCCCTTCCCCCAGCAGACAAGGGTAACACATGGGGTTGCGGAGATGGCGAGCAGCCACGCCTCCACCTTCAACAACAGCACACCCCCTCCATGGTCCCGCGCGGTGATTGGTTCCTGTTGTGGGGGTGTTAATCCTCCGGAGGGGGTGTGTGCTGCAACAAGTGACCACAGATGGGCTGTTTATCGCACACGTGCAGATAGAGGTAGTGGGCGGGGCGTGTGGGTCGTGACTTTTGGTGTTTGCAGACAATCGTTATGGAGGAGGAGGACAGGAATGGCACTATCCCCAGAGCCACCTCGGTGTCACGGCTGTCCAAGGCCCTCTCCCACACCCACCTGGACCTACTGGAGCAAGAAGCCATGGCCAGCTGCCCTTCGCAGACCTCCGGCACCGTGACCCCGCGGGTGACGCAGAGCACTCGCAAGAGGAAGCTGTCCAAGAGCCAGAGCCTGTCCGGTTCCCTGGAGAGTCTGAACGGCCTGGCCAGCGAGGCCAGAGTGCTGGTGGTGAACACCGGGGGGACCATCGGTATGATGTACCAGAATGAAGGTGAATGGGGGAGGGGGGATGGGAGACATCATCATCTGTGACGTCCCATCACTGATCAGCTGCAGACGAGAGATCCCAACGCTGATCATCCATAGACGAGAGACCCTAAAACTGATCATCCATAGACGAGAGATCCTAAGACTGATCAGTATCGGGATCTCCTGTCTATAGATGATCATCTGATAATACAGGAGATTCTAGTACTGATTACCAATAGATAGAAGATACGGATATTGTTCAGCACAGGAATCTTCAGTGTATAGGTAATCAATACAGGGATCCCTGGTCTATAGATCATCTATAAACAGGAGATTTCAATATTGATCATCTAATAATACAGAAGATCCCAGTATTGATCATCTATAGACAAGAGATCCCGATAATCATCTAAAAGTACAGGAATTCTTGATGGTGAAGACCAGAAATACCAATCATCTATAGACAAGAGACCCAATATTGATCAGCACTGGGATCCCCTGTGTGTACAGATGATCAGTATTGGGATCTCTAGTCTATTGATGGTCAGTTTCTGATACTGATAAGTATTAGGATCTCCTATCTATAGAGATGATTGGGATCTTTTTGTACTGTCAGATAATTAGTATTAAGAACCCTTGTCTGTACAAATGATCGGTATCGGGATCTCTTGTACTGTTAGATGATCGGTATCGGGATCTCTTGTACTGTTAGATGATCGGGATCTCTTGTACTGTTAGATGATCGGTATCGGGATCTCTTGTACTGTTAGATGATCAGGATCTGGATCTCTTTTACTGTTAGATGATCAGGATCTGAATCTCTTGTACTGTTGCATGATCGGTATTGGCACCTCTTGTACTGTTAGATGATCGGTATCGGGATCTCTTGTACTGTTAGATGATCATCTGCAGGCAGAGGTTCCAAATACTGATCATCTAACAGTACAAGAGATCCAGATACTAATCTTCTGTACAGAAGAGATCTTAATACTGATTATCTGATAGTACAAAAGATCCCAATCATCTCTAGATAGGAGATCCCAATACTTATCAGTATCGGGAACTGCTGTATATAAATGATCAGTATTGAGCTCTCCTGTCCATAGATGATCATCTGATAGTACAAGAGTTGCCAGTAGTGATCATCTAACAGTACAGATTCTGATAATGATTATTGAACAGTACAAGAGATCCCATTACTGATCCCCTAATAAGAAATACAGGAGATCCCAATACTGATCTAATCCGGCCTTTGCCTTGGGAGTAAGAAACCTACATGCCAACTGTGGTCAGTAGAAGGAATACCCCATCACTGATATTAGTTGAAGGTATAGTGCTCTATTGTTGGTGACTGGGAGGAATAGTGCACTTATTGGTGTCAGTGGGAGAAATTATGCTCTATTGTTGGTGGAAATGGGAGGAATTATGTGCCACTGTTGGCGTCATTGGAAGTAATGCTGCCTTGTTGTTGTCAGTAGGAGAAATAGCAACTTGTACTGGTGGTAGGAATGGTGCCCCAAGGACTGGATAAAGATTAGCAAAGGGTTGTGGAGGTCACTGACCTAATCACACAGGAGATCCATCTGATTTTGAATCTTGTTCTGCAGTTTCAATATTATCAGTGAAAGGTTTTGGGTTCAAGGTCTTCTGATTAATGTCCTGATGGCGCACAGATTGTGTATGATGTACCTTTGTAACCTGTGACAAAATTCATCTCTGTAGAATAGAGACTATTATGTATGGAGGAAGCTTGCTACAAGTTACAAAGTGTCTGTTAAAGCCCCACTCCTGAAAAAAAAAAAATGAAATGCACCTATTCTGTTATTCAATAGGAGCACATTTATCCTTTTTTTTGCAGTGGAGTCTGCAAAGCATTGCAACCGCCAACAGTGGATTGTGGCTGTAATTCTTTAGCTTCTGCAGACTATTTCTCCAGCCTACAGGTACTCTGACATTCAGTTACAGGGCTGGAGGAAGCGGCGTTCTTTTTTTACTTTTGGATGGGACATGGAGGGGTTAAACCTTCTACCGAGTTTTTAATGCTGTGTCCTCACTGGGGAGAGTCACCGCTCTGTGTGTGCTGGTGACCATCGTCTTTGAGAGAAATCCAACATTTTAGAGCTGTCCCCAGAAAGGTGAGTGGAAAAAAAAAAGGGATACCTGTTCCAGGAACAGCTATCTAAGCAGCGAGTTTTCCTATCTTGGGAGATTTTCTATGACTTCCTGTTGTGTGTCTTGGATAGGAAGGGAAGGGAAATTTCCACAGTAGTACAGAGAGAAAGAAAAAAAAAAGTACTCTGGAATGGTTTTAGCTCTTCCTTACTAAATGTAATGGATATACTTTAACATGTATAGCCAAAGTGCAGAGGTGTTCTGTGGTCCCAACAAACTTTCTGATGAGATTGAAGATAGGTGTGCAGGAAACAGAACATCACTTTGATTCTGGAAGAATCAACAGGTTTTTTTTTTTCTAATCATACAGATACAAGACTTTTTCACTGGTGTATTTAGGTACAGTTTGTCATTTAAATTCTAATCTAGTTGGTGTCCTTTTGTGGCCAGTGAATTGTTAGAGGCTGCACCTTGATTGCATATGAATGAACATGTAATTAACAGACTATCTCTTCCAAAGACCTGTGACATCATGTTTATCAGTTGCAGACTGTTTTGACTCCACTACAGCTTTGTTATGCTGATCAATGTTTACTCAACCTCCTTGCTGGAAATGTTGTTTACAAATAGGGTTTTTTTTTACTTACTTTTTTTTTTAAATATAACAGATTCCACTTAATGAGTTACTTTATCTTAAAGTTAGATTTAAAAAAAAGGGAAAAAATACACCATGCAGTGTGTTGTAACAACATATTGCACCATCCCTACACAACACAAACCAGCCAACCTGTGTACACTATATCAGGCATACCAAAGTCCTAGCATGTGTGAACTGCACCCTTAAAGTGGCTGTAATGGCTTCCTTATTTTTTCTCAAACATGTTGTACCAACTGCTTTGTGCAATGGTATTGTGGCTGCTTACTTGGTCCCCTGCCAGCACTATTATATCATTATAGTGCTGCTATGAAATATTTATATGAACATGACCCCACTGGAAATAGTTTTATATCACTTCTTGTCCATGTGACAGCAGTAGAAGAAATAAGGGGCGCAGTTGTCATAAGGAACTGATAATGCACACTAAACTTGGCCATACACTGATTGAAATTTGTTTGGTTCATTAGGGAGCGGGCCGAATTTCAATTAGTGTGTGGATGTCCCCACTTGACAGCAGTCAGTTGTTTGATGAAACATTTTGAAATTATTTTTAAACTAGAAGCTGCAGCCACCAACCAGTTTATTCTGACAATGGTGGGTGTCCTCAGAATACAATGTCCCAGGTGGAGAGAGTCTTCCATCATCCACCTTTTGGGCGTATGGAGGAATCTGTTTGTTTTTCCCCATTCAGTCTGCTAGCTCATGTATGGCAATCTTAAAGGTTTCTTTACTTTATGCACAGAGACCTCCACTTATCTGCACAGATCAACACAGGCTGAATACAAGGGCACAATAGGAAACAATTATTTTCTTTGTGTTCTCATTATCCCACATTGTTCCTTTGAAGTTGGGTTGCAGTGTCTTGTGTAAAATGCATACAATTCTGTGTTTTTTGCACTACACCTCCACTCATATTAATACATCTCACTCCTCCACAGCCATACTTAAACTGGGTATGCGTGGTTAGTTTTTTCTTTTTTTTTTCCTCTATCCATATAAGCAATATGGAAGCAGGAATCCCTTCTGCCAGGACTTTGTATTCCGACAGTGAAGACTTCCTTCTGGACTGTCCGAATGTATATCCAGCTTAAGAGGTGAACGAAAAGGTAAATAGTGCCATGCATTTTAACATAATAACAGGCCCTCCCAATTATGAATAGAAAAGCAATTATTGGGCTGTTTCTTGCCCAGTAGAGTGGTAGGTACTCAGAATTGGTTGTTGGCCCATAGAATTTGCCTGCAATATTGCTGGCCATTGGCTGGATACAGAGTGCCATGTTGGAAGTAGAACCATGCATGCTCTGAACTGAACACTGTGAAATCTCTGGAGCAGGAATACAGATATCATTTATGATACGCGTGAATCACAGTTCCCTCACCTCACCCCAATCTAAAGATCCAACTATATGCTATGGGTCCTCTTTAACTGGTTCATTGTTTGCAGGAAATGGACCACCTTCTGGAAATGCTAGTTGCCTGTTTTTTTATTCCTGAGTTTTGATGTCTGAATCAATACCAGCAGACACATCATCAGGAATGAGAATTTCTGATCCATATACTTGTTTGTCATGGACTCCAGCCATTGATTTTACAGGAGAGCCAGGCAAGTAGAATTGTTGGGAGTGGTAGCAGAAATTGTCTCATGATCACAGCTCTGTAGGTGTCTGGACCTATCTGCAGTTTTGAGGTCCCCATAGACAGTTTACATTTTGGCTGGGTGGCAAATTACACTGTTCAACAGGTAAAAGGTTTTGGGCATAAAATTAGCTAATCTTACATAATTTTGGGGTGCTGAAAACGAAAATGACCCTACAAAATGTTGATTGGCTCTAGTTTCCATGATATATTCACCCATCTAATGACGTAAGCCATTCAAAATTATGATGCAACTTCAGCTGCATATTGCGCAATTGATACTGGTGACCAATAGAAAATTGCATGTATACTGAGATGATGCAATATTAGCCTTTAATTGCATCACTTCACTGCATAAAAGCTGCAGTATCTGTAGCTGATTGTAGTTTGACAGCGTCTTTACATTTCGTTTTATGCTTATATAGGCTACTCAGTAATGCCTCGAACTTGTGTGAATAAAGCAGATAATTTCTGCTATATCTGAGGTGAAATAACTTTTATCTCACAAAAAAGGAGGATAACAGGAATGATTAAGAAAGCCTACAACTTGTATTTTGGCTGCAAGATAGGAGACCAGGACAAGAGGGCACCACATATATGCTGCAATTCTTGTGGGA